GTGATGTTGGATATTGATGTATTCAATAAAACTAAAAACAGTTGAAATAGTTTGAACTAGTATTTTTGTCTAAAAATATTAATATAATTTAAACCAAAATTTGTGTTTACTTATACTTATTGTAGTAATACAATATATTATAAATGTATATTAATTTACAAAACACAAACAGTCTAGTTTTTAGAGAAATTTTAAATTTTAAAATTGAAATTTTGGTAGTAAAATTCTTACAATATTGTATATTATTTTAAAGTTTGATAACTTCTTGAATTTTTGATTTATCGCAAGTTAAAAATTAATTAGATAAACTACTTTTAAAGCAAATATATAATTGATTATTTTAGACATGTAATTAATTAACAATTTTAAAAATAAAATCCTAACTTGAATGAACCCAATTGTTAACAAATTTTGTAAACTAACTTAAGGTTAAAACTATAAAAGTAAAAATATTATTTTCTGGTAATCTTCTAAGCATTTTTTTTTAACTAACAATTTTTAAAACTAAATACAACTTTTACAACTAATCCGATTTTATAATTTGAATATACTACACTATCTTTGAAATTAATAAAATTAACTAACTTTTGAAAATTCTCATAGTGGCAATATCAATATGCACCTTATAAACTTAATTTAAGTGCATTTAAAACAAACCTGTTTACACTCGTATATTTTTTTAACCGACTTCAATGATACTATAAATAATAATTTGTATTAATTATCTGTGATATTTGTTATCGAGAATATTAGTTAAACTAATATTCTATATCAAAAAAATAGAAAAATATAACGAGGTATTTTTAGTTTTGAATTCTATTTGTAATATTTATTTAAGTTTAGATAAACTCACGTAGGTATGAATCCGGACTTATAATATAATCATACGTATTATATAATAATAATATATACAATGTACATAGGTAGCCACATAAATATATTATACATATATTACTAAACATTACATATATATGAAACAAAAAAGTACAAAAATATTATAAAACTTATTTCAATAATATGTATGTATTATGAATCATGATAACATTTTAACGAAACTTTTTATTCACACAGACTTTTTGAAGTAGAACATGAAATAATGTACTTTAAAAGCCATCACGCGAAAAATAAACTCATTTAATGTTTCACATTCCTTATTATCCTACTACATAAAATAGTAAAACTGTAGATTAATTATCTATTTTTTTTTCTGGTTTAATTACAGGCCTCTTTTTGTCAAAGTTGCAACAACCTACTGGTTATTGTTTACACTCCCGTCTCTCCCCTTTATTTGTTTGCTTACTTCAATATATGGATGTGTCAGGTACATATATTTATGTAATTTGTTCACAAGTTAATATAATTAAATATTTATACAAATTTAAAACAAAAAATATAATGAGTATTTTATAGTTGCATAATTATTAAATTAGAATCACTTAATAAAAACCTAAAATTAATTCTTTTGTTTAAAAATTTACTTTAGCGTAATAATATTTCAGCCAAGTTAATAATTTTAATGAAATATAAATATTATATAATATGATTTTTCTATTTTATAAAAATTTAATTTGATAAAATGAGTTCTTTATTTTGTTTAGCTAAGCAAATGCGTATACTGTTAAATATAAATTTGTATACAGCGAAGGTACCTACGTAAATATGTAAATTGTATATTAAATTTGAATTGTATTTACTATTGTATTTATAAAACGTTAGTTAGTTAACAGTATTGTTTATTTGAATTACTTTTTAATGTAGCTTGTACACAAGGTATACCTACTACTAAAAACTACTTAACACCTATAATATTTTTAAATCTAACCCTATCAATTTTTTTCTAATACTTAAAGTACCAATTGAGTATTCATAACACTTATCCTGTAAGATAGCTATCTCAGCTGTGACTAAACATTAAACATTAAACATATAGTATACCTTTAAATCTCCAACGCTAATCAACCATACTTTACAACAAGTTACTTAGTGTCAAATATCAATAGGTGTTAAAATATTATAAATAAAAGCACTTATAAAGAGTAAAAGTTTACATAGATATGATTATGATAGTATAAATATATCACTTTATGATTTATGAAAAAAAAAACAATTTCTATTTTAATATTTTGTGCGTAGTTTAACGATATTTAAAAAGAAATAATAAATTGTAAATTAACTTCTACCTTACAGTTCATAAGTACCTAGAACATTAACCTTTTGGCTCTAATAACTCGAGAAAACATAAAAATGTAACCCTGAAAAAACAAAATAAACATTGCATGTGATGTACACTATTGAACTATCATGTTTGCAAACAAAATAAAATGTATACAAATTACAAAATGAGATACATGTCTTAATAACGGCAGTAGCGTCGAGAATAGTTAAAAAGTGTGTAATACGAATGAAACAATAAAACGTTTTAAAATATACTTATATAAATAGGGTGTCAACCATTGACATACAAATAAAACGCAATTAACAACTAAGTACTCATAGCTTGTTGGCATATTTAACACTAAATCAATAATACTTCTAACAGCCAACTCTCAAATTTTCAGTGTTAGATTCAGATGTGAATCGAAAATGACCATTTATATATAATGTGCCTTTAGGAGACCAATCACCCAATCAAAATAAATTCTAGACGAATTAGTGTAAACTAGTTTCTTATTACTTCTGAATAGTTAAATAAAACATTCTTAATGACTGAGCTTCCTCCAACTATCCAAGTATCCAATAGGTGGTTATCGAAAATTGAAATTAAATTAAACTGCTTATTATATATTTGCATTTAAATTAGTTTTTTTTTTTAAAAAAAAAGCATTTATATAAATTCCAAGAATAACCTCTTTAATTAATAATTAGTACTTAAAGTAAAATTAAAACGAAATTATTTCGGTTGAAAAAATACAGACACTGAACTGTTTAGACAGACACCTATTGTTAATCTGACTAGGCAGTAGCCATACAATAATGTGCCACTAGTGTATGATGTGTACTAGACGTGTGATATAATGGCATAATAATATATCTATGGAAGTGTTTAGACATCAAATCATTCGCATCACTTGCGAAAGACAATTATAATACACTGAAATTGAATAGAGTAAATTGCAACTTAATATATTTTAGTCATAATAATACCTATATTCAATTTAAATTTACCAAATAAAAACTTTAAAATATTATATTTTAAGCACTCGTCATTAATATAATTTAAATATTTTTTTATTATGCCTATACTTAAGAAACGAATTTGCTGAAAGTGTCATAAAACCAAGACTATAAAAATCATGTTGTTGGATTTTTGGCTGAATGGTGGGATGAAAACCACAATCATAAAAACGCGGAATAAAAATATGTAGTGGATACCAATAAGCTGCTGGGAGTAATGACTATTTAGTAGAACTTACTGTGGCAATAACAGTGCAAAGTTATTAAGTAATAAAATCTTATATAAATAATCAGAAATTTGAAATCCGTCATTGAATTTACCAACAAACGTATAGGGAATGGGAACAAAAAGAAAAAAATGGATCAGTTGGGTATTTGCTTTTAAGTCTTACTTGTTAAGTGGACAAAGCTAAAACTGAAAATCATCCGATTATCGTACATAAGGTGTATCAGAAAAATAATTGTATTGAGTAGTCGAACTATAAAAATAAGAACTATACGAATCGATTAATGAAAATAAAAATAACCCTTCGGAGCTTCCACACTGTGGAATCTACAGTCACCTGATGTATGCAAATTACAATCACAAAGTGGCAAAGGGAGGAAGTAGTAATTAATACTCTAAAGAATCCTCGATGAATTACTAATACACGTATATATAGCTCTCCTGATGTAGCATCTGGTGCATTCCGTTCCACGAGTACCTCTTCCAAAGCGCGTAATATTCACCGCAGGATTAGTCGATTAGACATCGAAATGAACTGCTGTCCCCAAATCCAATTTCAATTTTTGACCTACAATTACCTGATCAATAGATTTTGACTAAAGGCGGGACTCGCTTTTTTTACTATTTAATATTTGCGACTGTGGTAAAAACCATCAAACGAAGTGTATTGTCTGTTTTTTCCAACTGCGAAAATCTTGGTTATATTGACGCAGCGTTATATTAATTCACAGACCGGACATCGCCTACAGCCTTTCTCATTGAATGTAAACAATACTAGTTGTATTATTGATCATGGTGTCATTCCAGCCCTAATGATTTACCTACTGCCAAATTAAAATAAAATAACAAACCGGAAAGTTTACGTTTTATTTCAATAAGAAATATGTAGTTCGTACAAAAATTAAAAATAAATTAATATAAAACCGCACAATAATATAATATAACTATATTATATTTATTATTCGTTTATTGAATCAGACTTTTTTTAATTTTATTTTTAATAGTTTTTTTTATTGTGATCTGTATTGTAATTTCTTTACAATAACCAGATGCCATTACTCATACCAGTGCTATGATTTACAATCATTTTTTATATTTTTTTCATCGGGAATAAAGAAAATGTTAAATTCTAAAATTAAAATTCAGTTTATTAATTTCACTCGTGCAAACATAAACAATATTCAACATACTATAAATAAATACATAACACTGAACAAATGTACTATATTATATCAATTTAAAATTGAATTTGATTATTCTTTAAAGCTTAACTACCTAAGTATGGAAATAAATAATAAATAGTCATAAAACTCAACCCTGACACGTTCAAAATATATTTTAATACTTCAGTTTTAATTTTCAACTTTAAATTATCTACTATACCTAATTACCTATAATTTAATTTTAATAAATGAGACAATTTGTTTAATATTTCTTCTATGTTTTTTAACTTGTTTATCTTACAAAAAAATGTAGGCCGTAATAATTTTTTTAAATATTATCAAGAATTAAATTTTTTTCATTATGTTCTACAGTACACCAATAATCCCAAACTTTCGTAAACCAACTATGAAATAACATTCTGGAAGTTAACACTTACCTTCGATAGTTTCCTTGGCGAACGAATTCAACGTTTAAGCCAGATTAGCCATTATATTATCAAAACGTTTAACTATAACGGTTACCGCGTAATAAGCTCATGGTCGTCTCGTCATCATCGTTTAGGATCGCGGCGCGTATAGGCTAACGTTTGGCGGGCGACTCGTTGGAAAACGCTCGCTGTCGGCGCGCCGCCACCGGACGGTTGTCTATACCCCACCCCGATGTAAAACTATCATGCCACCATGCCAGTGACCACCCCCATGTTGTATAAAAGGACTCGAAATTACACTGCGATAAGAACCACGCCGAGGCTGAAATTATTATTATTATTTTCAAACGAAACCAAAATTGCATTCATATTACCTATACTAACCATATTATTTTGATATATGTACTAATATATATTTATATATATATTTTTATATTTTTAATTTTTGTTGTAGTTTTATATTGCTGTAAGTTTTTTTTTCTTTTTTTTTTTATCATTTATAATCTTAAATGCAAATATTATCTATGTTTCTATATTTAAACTGGGCTTCCGCCCGTCTTATTAATAAAAATAAATAAATAAAATAAATAAATATAATATGTTCTTAAAAAGATTGAAACAATATTAATAACACTTGTGTAAATGCCAACTATAAAATGTGGCGTAATTATAATATTAAATGCTTTAATGTTAGTAATAAATTTAGATATACCTAACTAACTATTTTTTTAAGTATTATTATATACACATGTATATAATGCAAAGTTATTCGCTTAATTATTCAATAAAGTTATATTGCTTAAAAAATAAAATTTAATTTTAATACGCATTAATGTCATTATATGGTCAATGATAAATGTCTTTATAATACAATACTTACACGATATCAAATTACCGAACATCAATCTTAATAGCTAGGTAGTCCTATATTTTTTTATTTTCAAACCATTAGAATGCATTCCATTAACAGTAAAAACAAATCATTAAGTTTTTAATTAGATACCGGTACCTGCCAACAAATTAAATAAATGGTCTGTACTCCATTGCATTTACAAAATTCAGAAGAATAATTTGACTTTTTGAATGATAAAGGTTCTTCTGAGTCTATTACGTGACAAAATTCATCTCTACAAAAAATAGATAAAATAAAAATGACTTACACATTTGAATATAAGATTACTACAGACAGTAAAAATTGTGGCTTTTTAAAATTAACCTAGTATGTTATTTTTTTATCTATTTATATTTATTATATTATCATTATGTATTACATTAAATAAAACAATTTTGATAGGTACAAACATTGTATTCAATATATTTTCATACATAAAATATAGATGTTAATTATTTTTCTTATGATAGTATTCTTGTCTGTGTTTCAGTTTCTACAATCCCGAAATGATATTAAATATTAATAATACTTGGAGCAAGATAAGTTATTATTAAAAATACTGGAATCGTGGCTATTTAAATAATTTTAATTTTATTATTTATTTTACATAAAAACATACTGCAAACCAATTCTATGAATTAACTATAATCATTTTATATTCTTAGAGCGTACATTTGTATAGGTTCTAACTAACAAGGAATAATATTTTACGACACACATCATTGTGAAATCAATACATTCATCGCTCCGCTCAGAATCGAATATTTAACTTAACATTATCAGGTGCCTGGTATATAATCAAAATTTAGTTCTCTATATTTTTGAAATATTATACCTACCTACGATTGCATAAAAAATATTTTAATAAACTATGCTGGTTGTGTGGAATCTGAAATGAGTACATGAAAATTGAAAATAAACAAAAATTTAAACGCGGGGCGTATCCTATTAAAATACCTATGCATAAAGTGACAATTCAATTTCAACCTTTTATTAATATACATATTTCCAATACTCCGACTTTTATCACTACGTTCTCATATAAAAGTACCTACCACTACAACTATAACAGTATTATAACATGCCATAATAAATGTAATTTACCCAGGTATATTTGATTTTAAGCTGTTGCTTATTATCTTAGTATTATACTTGGTATATCACTTCATTTCCAAGAAAAAATTATTCTTGTATTTCCTTTTAAATCGTTTTCGTTAAAATTTAAATATTAAGAATTTAATGGCATTTTCGATTTGTATAACGATGAATTTATTAAGGAAAAATTTTAAATAGAAGGTAAAAATTGTCAGAGATGGTCAGAGATGGAATAATCGTCGGCACATAAATCAACAACTAATGGTCATTCATCGAATAAAATGTAGTCGTTTCTAACATGTAAATTAATGAAAATCTATAGATTAATGTTCCATTTGTGACTGAAGTTTTTCGGAATCGTAAATAACGAGTAAGTTTCCACTTGATGAATTATTTCTAAATGGTTTTATACATATACAGTAAACTAGTAAAGTAAAACGATACCATTCAATTAAAATATTTTTACTGCAAGTATATACAGGATGATTCACTAATCATGCCACCACCCTTTTTCTTCAATAATGAGGTTATTCATAATTTGATTTTTGGAATTTTTTATTTTACTTAAGGACCATGTATTGCAGTATATCCTACGGAGTGCCCTGTGGAAATTAAAACTTCTTGTTTTTCAAATGAGAACTCCTTCCTTTGCATATTGTAAATTATTTAGTGGATCATTTTTCTAAAAATGTTGACGTATCTAAATTAAAATATGATCTCTTAATATATTTGAAAATTCAAAAAATCATAATTTTAATAAATTCATTAATGGAAAAAATTTTGTATATATATTAGATATAATAATTGTAACAAAGCGTTGTTATATCCAAAATCATTGTTTTTAAATAGGTGTTTACTCATTCAACGTCTTTATAAAAACCATCAAAACGCATTATTATCTTTGAATTTCAAAAAATAGCCTCGATTTCACTGTTTTCATTTTTCAAATTTTGGTAATATGATAAGCTATGTTTTTAGTTCAACACTACAATTAAATGTGATTTGCAGCACGTCTTATATTATTTTTTTTAATTTGAATGTAGTTGTGTGTTATATGTGCCTACTATGGTACCATTTTTACTTCTTAAATTTTACAAAATAAATATATTTCCAAAAATATAATAACTAAAGAATTTAAATTCTAAGCAATTTATATGTGTGTGAAAAAATGTATTTTTAGAGATATTTAACTTCAGCAGTGGTTATTGATGAAACGCGAACAAACATATATACAGCCATAATATATGATATTCGGGTTTGAAAATGTTTCCGATGACTTTTGATGTCGTGGTATACCCAAATCCAATCGTTTAACTGTAGAAATGTGTTTTTTAATGCATCGATATGTTTATCGTCTGTATCGACTGTACCATACACTTACAGTAAAACCCAATCACAAGATAGCTTTTGCGAAGGCCGAAGAGTCATGCTCTGATGCAAATCCTTTGGGAGATGACAAGAAAATCGACTGTTAAGTTGAATGTCAAATCACAAACGAAACAATTCAAGAAAAAATTTATACATAACTATCATAGTCAAGTTTAGTAATATTTTTTAGGGAAATTGATCACTTAAATGTTTAAAAACCATAAAGTGGCCAAGTAGGTAACTGCTCTACTGTATAGTATTGGCGTGGGTGCTCATTAGGGAGAGAGTAACTTAAATAATTCCCATGAAAAATAATATGAACTTAAAAAATATAAATACTATACAATTTATGAATCATAAATGTTACAATATTATCAAATTACCAAATTATGCCTTACTTAATTAATCATATAAAAATATATTATTAACTATTAAAACATAAAACCTTTATTTAGCTTATATCAGAAAATTTTCTTATTTTCCCCCTCCCTAAAATTTAACCTATAAGCGCCCGTCGAGTGTACCTCGACGTTGATTAAGTCACTGTAATGATTAATGGATGTATTAAATTCGTATTTAATGTTCACAAGAAGCGCAAACATTTATGATATTATTAATATTTCATTATTATTATTTTTGTCAACAATAAATACTTAAAGTAAAACGGTGTGAACTGCAAATATGTTCAAGATGGTATAAATATTCTGTGGCTAAAAATTAAATTAAATATTTTGAAAATGCCATTGTGACGGCTGTGTATATTATACTATTAAATAATACACGTAAAAGTTCCACGAATCACAATAAAATAACCAAAATTGTTATTCTTCGTTTAAAATGTTAACGCCAATATCCAACTTTGTCCAATTTTAACTTCAAATGACTAAGAAAAAATCGTACTTATGTCTATGGATTTTTAATATTTTTAAATAACCATACAAGCAACTTATATGAATTAAATTTTCAAGCTTTTAGACCAAGCCTAAACATTTCATCAAAACCTTGAAAAAAAACTTTAAAAGTTCGAAAATGTCTAATGCCTATAGGCTAGGTAAATAACTTAAAATTAGTCAAAATATTTTTAAAAAAGCATTAAGTGTTATAGGTAAATTATAGTTTAAGTAACTGTGAAACTTTTTAGTTTCTACGATGAATGATAATATTATAAAATACAGGAACGCTGTAGCTAATAGTACTCGTCTGAAGCAGTGAATGGTGCAAATGTTTTGAACGTAATATATTACGTCAGGAGCAGTGAAAGGGTTCATACTTTTTGAATTACAACAAAAAAATTTATCTTTTGATGAGAAATCGTTATTTTATGGTTAAACATTTGAACATCCAATTTTATTAAAATGTAATCTTCAGACGTTCATTATATGATATGAGCAATACTCATACATATCAATATCAGCCCTTATAACATAATATTATAATATACCTACTAAATGTACATAATATTAAATACTAATATTTTCGTTACGACAAATAAATCTATATAATGGTATGAAATGAGTAAAATTTTATTTTTAAAATCTTATCAGAAAACTAACTATGACACAGACACTTATGTACGGATTCATAACAAAAAACACGCCGTGCTTGAAATTGGAAGGAGCAAGGCACAGGCTGCCACTTTTTGTCACACTCGAAACATCGATCCGCGATCTGGCACAAAAACCACTCGATTTCCTACCGGTTTTCCTTTGAAGAATTTTTTTCACAGACAATATCAATTGTGTACGGATGCAACCTACAATATTATACTTATATATTTTAAGCACGTGCGTATATTATGACGAATAAA